CTCCTCTCGGGATCTTGGGCACACATACACACTTGCCCAGCCTGAGTTTAAGGCAACAGGTCTGGAACTCGAACCACGGTCGACTACATGGAGTCCAGTGACATAGCCATTACGCTAACTGCTGGTCCCTACTTCTCTTTCAAGTGAGCAAATACACTCTCTGATGGTTAAATTTAGAAAAAAAAAGTTTTTTAGAGATTTTTGCTATATGGCGGGCATATGCATTTGCCAGAGAGAAAGTGAGAAATCATTCCCCCAGGGGGGGATGGCCACACTCCAATCCCTTCTCCTCCATTCTCCTCTCAGGATTTTGGGCGCACACACACGCACACACACAAACGCCTGGCATGAGTTTCAAGCCACTGGATCCAGGACTCAAACCGTGGTCGCATATGAGGGAGTCTAGCACCTTAAACACACCACCACCAGCTTAAACAAGGAACAAAATGAATAGTGGGGAAATATCTATTACTTATTTACAGAAGGAGCGCTGGGACCATGAATATCTTCTTTGGTAATACTCTCGCACCTAGCACGGCATCTGCAATGTAATGCAGGCTCTGTCAATACTTGTTAGGGCTTCTGTTAGATGGAGGTAGTTATGCCTGTATTGTCACCAGCTCTTCAGTACTGCCTGAAAAATATCATCCTTCTTAAGTGTGGTGTGAAGATTCATAAATTGTGATTGGTTAATATTTTTATATATAACTTTTTAATCAATAAGGCACAAATGTGAGAGAAAATTAGAGTTATTCATGCTGTGAGATCTTTACTTTCTGGATTACATCACAGCACATTCTTTTCAAATGTTCTTATGCTTCATAAACCCCAACACTGTTCTTATGCCTAAAACCTAAATCTACTAATGAAAGCAAATACCATACTACCGGGTCATCAGAAAAGTCATGACAATTTTTTTCATGTTTTTCTATGCAAAAGTGGGTCATGACTTTCCTGATGACCCGGTAACTGAAACCAAACAACCTTTCATGATTGTTCGTTTAACCACTTTCACAACCAATAGTCTTTTCTGAATCAATAATAGAAAAATACTTCTGGAACAGAAATGATACCCAGTTGAGGTTAGATGAAAGGTTAGTGGGTTTCTTTATTAATTCCTAATATGTCAGCTTTTTACTAGGCTTTTAATTAAATTCATTCACTTTTAAACATCCTAGGGCCAGCCAATGGAATGATACTGAAGACAGCTGGATCCCACATAGTCAACTCTGCTGTTCAAGTCCCAGATCCAGTGGTTTGAAAAATGTAGAGGTTAAGGCACTGAATTCCCACATGGTTGCCTGCAATTTGAGTCCCAGACCTAGTGGCTTGAAACCCACGCCAGGTACATGTGCATGTATGCCTAAAACCCTGATGAGAGAATGGTGGAGAAGGAATTGTGGCATGGCCATCCCCCTAGGGGATGATCTCTCACTTTCTGTCCCTCACTCTAGTGAATGCACACACCCTATAGCAAAAAACCTCCCTCCCCCCAAATAAGAAAAAACAAGCAGGGTATATATGCATGTGTGCCTCAAATCCCAAAAGAATGGAGGAGAAAGGAATACAATGCGGCGACTTCCCTCACCACGGGAAGAGGGGACCAGTTCCTACTTCCCCTCTCTGACTCATTCTCTCTGGCCCGTGCATGTGCCCTCTAACAAATTACAAAATAATAATAAAAATAACAAAATATCCTATAAAACACAGCAAATAAAAGAAGAGAAAAATGTGTTTTTGACATTAAAATGCTTTAAAGCGAATGCTAAAGATGTTTTCTATTCAAGCTATATTTTCAAGTCAATAATCCACAAAAACATTTTTTCCTTTTTTTTAAATTTCCCATAGGGCACATGTGCTTCCTGTAGAGCGAGTGAGAGAAAGAGAGAGATAGAGGG